GTACTATGATATTCTGACATATGCATGTACTTTAAAATCCCTTTACATCAATGGTTGATGCCTWGTGAATTTRGGATGATAATAAAAAAACTASTACCCACAACTTTGAACATCAACACAACAATCAGCCATTGGTGTCTTCTATTCTGAATGCTAAATGCAGACCTCTCATGGAGAGCTGTAGCATGGAGCTTTGCAATGATTGCTTCAAAGCAATCTTGTACTCTTCCTGTAGTGATGAAAATGGTTTATTTTCATCCACAATGTTGTGTTCCTTCCTTGAAAATGTCTATAGGATTGGAATACGTGACTGAGATTCAAGTGTCTGGGCAGAACCCCAGGTACCATTGTCAACTATGTGATGCAAAGTTTGACCATAATGTCAAGTTTCCTCACTTGGTTGGTGCAAAGCATCGATTTAATGTTCTGGTGAGTAATATCCGTGGCTGGTATCAAGGGTAATATTACTCCATTTGAATTGATTGGTTTTGTTCTGGCTGTGTAATTGAGCTATCTTCTGTTTGTCTTGCAATGTTTTCTAGAAGATGGTGAATGTGTACKTAGACAGCCATGTTCAAACCAATGATGTTCAATGATACATATATAATGAATTCCATCTGCAATTATTTATAAATTAAATTGATATACTACAAGTAGACAAGCCTTTATTTTATGCAGATGGAAAATGAGACTTACRTACAGGTAAACTGTACCAATATTAGATGCCATGCACCTCCCTGTAATCTCATTCATTCTCAAGAAGAACTGTACTATTATAAAAAAAGCATTTTAAGGGATTCCCTTCCCAAGTAGGTATTGAAAACATTTTGGTTATCAAAGTTTACAAGGTTATCTCTGATGTGGAATTGTGATGCTTCAGAGAAAGTCTCCACATCAGCCATACCAAAGATAATTCAGCCCTGGACAATGAAAAATGTCGAAACGCCATCAAATTTTATCATGTGAGACACCATCTTACTGTTTGGAGCATCAGATCTTCTGGAGCATGTTGATTGACGTTGGCTGCAATTAACTTTGATTCCTCAATATGATGTGTATAATCAACATTTCTCATTTTGCCATGGCATAAAATTGTGGCGAAAATATTATTTGTACCAAGCTGTGTTCTGTTCTTGAAATGCTTTTTTGTGTATAAAATAACAGTTCATGTACAGATGAATGTATGCTTTTTACTATATTGAGAAAGTGGAGCACAAAACCTAGTGTTAACATTCTCACTTTCTAGCAGAAATCAAGGCTTGCTATAAGTAGTTACAGCATGATTGTTCATGTTTGTGACACAAGGGTGGATGTACTTAAGCATGGTTTCCATTAGTGAAGTAGGTGTATGAACAGTAGAATGTGAAGAAAGATACTTGTTTGTGTGGAAGCTAACAAATGGAGAAGGAAGCAGGTTAATGACAACCTTTCATTTTCCTTCTTCATGGTTAATTTTCCTTCTCTGTGTGAATCACCACTTCACTGGTGAAAACCGGACTTTCCTTCATTTAGACATTTCCCTTAAATTATACAAACTGCAGTATAATGGCTGTGAAAAATCATTGTGAGGGATTGCAGTTATGTTTATGTGTGTAGGATAAACTTACATTGAAACAGCACATTGCATAGTTCATAAAATGATTTTTGAACAGTCATGATCAAGTTTATTGTAACATAAAAAATTATATTCAAACTCCTATGGCCAACTGCTAATATAAAATTTTTTGATTCTTTTAAGAATTTAAAAAAATTTTGCCTGCATACATACTGTTTTGTCTGCAATAAGAGCAGTTTGTGACTTCTGGGGAAACATTGTGTTCTCTGTCACTATATGAAGCTCTTGATTGGATAGTACTTACAAGAACTTGATTGGACAATGGTAATCTTTTTCCTGTTCCTGTTGAACCTTGCAAGCAAAGATTGTTAATCTTTCTTATTGATGATCTCTGTTTGCAAAGCATTTCTTTCATTTATTATTGAATAAGTTAAAAAAAGGACTGTAGCTATTTGCCAATCAAAGTTAGGGTAAGTACTGATCCAGGAGAGAGACAATCAACATTTTGTCGTGTGACAAAGAACACAATATCTTCAAGACAGGCCCAACTGTTCTTCTGGTAGACAGAACTATCTATTCTCAATCTATCAAAAATCAAAACTTCCYTCAAAACAAAACTGCGGCAATAAGTTGAAATTGCATACAACTGCATGATTGTGAGTGATCTATGTTCATTCGGTTTGGAGAGTTTCACAAGGAAAATTAGTATTTGGAGGCTTATGAAATGAGAACATTATTTGAAGTTGGCCTTAATTGGCCATGGCCATCCGCAAGATATCAATATTTGCAAAATCAAAATGTACAGCCATATGTACTGTAGACATAACGTGATATTGTTGTGTGCTCAGCGAGTGATATAAGCGACCAGCTATTATATATATACATTATAAGCTATGAATTCATTATTCTAATAAAATCTTGCTCATTATSTAATCATTTTGCTTGAACAGAAAGAGAAAAACCCAGCGATTGCACAAGAAATCAGAGTTGGTGTCAAGAAGCGCTCAGAACTTACCGGAAAGYTGCTTGAAGAAGCAATGAAAATTGAACAAGAAGAAGGCCGTCAACAAGTTAAGACTTGTGTAGAGGCCAGTCCATTTGAATCCAGTACAGCACCAAAACCCCTGATGAGTAAGCACATATTTCTTCATGTTATTTCAGTCAAACAGGAGTACTTGCTGTCGTCATTTCTGGTAGACATTTGTATTAGCATACATTGAGTTTTAAGAGGTTTAAGTGGCAATTCACAAAGATTGACCGATAACAAAACGAAAAAGGGACTGGGTACGAACTTCCAAATCTAATTAAATAATGGTTCCAGAAAGAATAACCCCATCATGTGAGAGAGCACCATATAAAAGGCTTACTGACTAAGTTTAAGGACTTACTGACTAAGTTACGGACATTCAAACCATGCCAAAAATACAAAGAAATGTATGGTGTCCAGCCAAAGCGTCCAGCCAAACATTAAGTCATTGTAATTTTCGAAAATTCTAATGACTTAAACTTGCTCAAAGTTTAGCTAATTTATATGTGCTTTATCTATCAACAACAGATTTCTGTAAGATTGTAGCACTTTTAAAATTTTCAGTCCCAGGCCCCTGCTCGTTTTGTTATCGGCTAATTAGTTGTTGATGACATTTTGTTAAATGTATACAATAAAAGTATGAAAATTACCTGATCCGATTCAAAACAATTCCTAATTTTCTTGTCACCCAGATCTTCATTTTTGTTATGGTAGTCGCATCATTCACACCAAGCAATATTCGTATTTGCNTTAGCGTTCAAAAAAAAATTCGAGAGTTCGCACTCATTTGAAATCGGGTGTAATGACAACCAAAAAAAAACCTTCTTCATGGTTAATTTTCCTTCTCTGTGTGAATCACCACTAAAAAAAAAAAAACCGGGCTTTCCTTCATTTAGACATTTCCCATTAAATAATAAAAAAAAAAGTATAATGGCTGTTAAAAATCATTGTAAGGGATTGCAATTATAAAAAAAAATGTAGGATAAACTTACATTTGAAACAGCACATTGCATAGTTCAAAAAAAAAATTTTGAACAGTCATGATCAAGTTTATTGGAACATAAAAAATTAAAAAAAAAATCCTATGGTCAACTGCTAATATACCATTTTTGATTCTGTCAATAAAAAAAAAACCTGCATACATACTGTTTTGTCTGCAATAAGAGCAGTTTGTGAAAAAAAAAAAGACATTGTGTTCTCTGTCACTATATGAAGCTCTTGATTGGAAAAAAAAAACAAGAACTTGATTGGACAATCGTAATCTTTTTCCTGTTCTTGTAAAAAAAAACAAGCAAAGAT